CATCATCACTGTGTACCACGTATTAAATTAGTTTGTTTTAAACTTTAATTACTCTCTCTCTGTGTGTGTGTGTGTGTGTGTGTGTGTGTGTGTGTATATATATATATATGTCTTTTGTCTGGTGAAAAAAATTTCCCTGGAACCTAACCCCCTCATTTACATTAATTCTTATGGGGAAATTGGATTTGCTTAACACCGTTTCGCTTAAAGTCGCATTTTTCAGGAACATAACTACGATGTTAAGAGAGGAGTTACTGTATGTGTATTTGTGCAACATCAGCCCTTTCCTTGCCAGCTTCTGTGAGCAGGGGCTGCCTCTGGCTCACAGCTTAACTTTGCTTTATGTTAGCAAAGTCTTGACCATTACTTTAGTTCAGGCCTTAGGCCTCATACCGGGCCTCTGAAACCAAGCGTTTATGTTTCAGGGCCTCATCTTACTACAGCACCATAACTCTGGTTTTAACATTGACCTAGGAGAAGAAGGTAGCCCAGTTGGCCCCCCAGCAAGGATTTAGTGAGAATGAGGATGGGGAGGATGAAGATGATTCGTCTGAAACTGACTCGGATGATGACGATGATGAAGAGGAGCATGGAGCCCCTCTGGAGGGGTATGAGGGATTATTAATTCCTAATAACAGTGAGAATAGCCATGTGAATTAAAGTCAGGGTCTCCATTCTGAGAAGACTCCTAACAAGCCAGTTGAATAATGTTACATTCTAGCAATACTGTGCAGATATGTCTTTAGGTTAGATAGTGTGGGAATGAAGGGTTTAAAAGCTGAGGTAGATCATGTGCAGGTGCAATGTCTTCAAACAGCTTCGTGGTACTGGGGTTGGAGTGCTGCAATGGGAACTGTAAGTCTGAATCCAAGGTTTTGGGGAGCTGCTTTCAGAGTATCAGCCCTGAAAATGAAGATAGAAGGATATAGCTATATTAAGTGGGGAGGAGGAATTCCATTGCCCATGTGGACAGGAAGAGTGTCACTGGGGTTTAAAAAGCATCAGAAAAGATGCACTGTTCATACAATAGAACTGTTCTTAGAGAGCTTGAAAATTGGATTCCTAAGCAAGATTCTGACTTGTTCTTTGACACAGTAGGATTCTTAGATTTCAAATACTGCTGCCCAGTTTTCTTCCTACCAATACCTACTCATGAACTTTATAACCAATGCAATCAGCCTCTTTGAGGCAGTGTAGGGGGTACCCAAGTTGCCTGGCATAAACTGAGACTTAGTATAATAAACTAGCGCTAATAGAGGGCTAATTAATTAATATATTAGGAGGCCCATTAATATGCTCAATGCATTGTGCTGCACAAAGATAGAGTACATTTACTGCCTTTTTGCAGACAATTCATTTCCATAATTTACATACAGATGTCTAGCATGCAAACCAGCCTGCCCCAAGGGAAATAATTGTTATATCATTACACTTATTGTAATATAACTTTGTTGAAAGTCTGGTCTGCTGCCCATCATCATGGTATTATTTATTAAACTCCAATAAAAAAAGGGAGTATCTGGTAAAAGGGGGTGTCAGTGTTGTGAGTGCTGTTCTTATGATGGAAACACGTCTTCAAAGAGGAAGAGTTTGCAGCATTTCCTAAAGATGTCAGAGACTGGATTCTCTTGATCTCTTCTGTAAATTTGTTCTGTAGCCAGATCCATCCCCCAGGATGGGTGTGCTAAGCTGGGGAAGACATCCAAGGCCCTCTCCTCCTCTAACACACCCACAGAGAATCAGATATAAGTACCCCATAAAGTTAATCTGCATGAATCTATTGGTCTTGAATATCTCTTCTTTTCTCTAGTGCCTACAACCCTGCAGATTACGAGTATCTACCAGTGTCTGCAGATATTAAAGAGCTCTTCCAGTATATAAGGAGGTGAGTAGAAGGAGCACTAATCTGCATTGGGATGCCTTTCTGGGGGGTGAAATGTTTACAGAAGGAAATGCTTCTTTTCTGGACGATAATTTCCCTGTGTAATTCTCAGGTACACTCCACAAATGATAGAGCTTGAACACAAACTGCAGCCTTTCATTCCAGACTTCATTCCAGCTGTTGGGGACATTGATGCCTTCTTAAAGGTACCCAGCTTTCAGACCCTCCCCTGTAACTCCTGTTGTGCAGGGTCAAACAGTGCTCTCTCCCATAAAAACAATAGTAATTTAGTGAGAGAAGCAGCATTTGCATTTCTCTTTGTTGCAAGAGGAGCAATTTCAGCACACAGGGTGCCAGACTAGGGGCCCAAACCCACTTATGGGGACTTAGCCTCCTCGGTCCATAATGTGGCGTTAACCCCTGCTTGTCCAGTGTGGGGTTGGTGCACCCCGTCAGCGTGACCCATAGAATAGCCTTTGCTAAAGGATTTGTATAAATTTCTAGATTTTTTTCTTAATCCTTGGTAGCCTAGCAATATTTACACAGCCACGGTTTTCTTTTTCAATAAAGACCCAGAGTGTGACTGGGTTAGAATGCTCCCATTCTGCTACTATTTTGAGCTGGCTGGCTTGACCAATACCTTTGTATTCCTGCTAGGATTTTTATCTGGGGTGGTTACAAAAGATTTTGAAACAAGAAAGATATCCATGTCATTTTGACTGTGGCTCTTCTTCCCAACCAAGAAATAGAATACATACCCCAACACTCCAGATCTCTTTTTATTTGCTAAAATTTGGTGGTTTGACATTTTAATCCTATAACTCAGGGGTAGGCAACCTATGGTACGTGTCCCGAAGGCGGCACGTGAGCTGATTTTCAGTGGCACTCACACTGCCTGGGTCCTGGCCACCAGTGTGGGGGGCTCTGCATTTTAATTTAATTTTAAATGAAGCTTCTTAAACATTTAAAAACCTTATTAATTTTACATGCAACAATAATGTAGTTATATATTATAGACTTTTTGAAAGAGACCTTCTAAAAACTTTAAAATGTATTACTGGCATGCCAAACCTTAAATTAGAGTGAATAAATGAAGACTCGGCACACCGCTTCTGAAAGGTTGCCGACCCCTGCTATAACTCTTCTAGGTTGTTTGAGATTTGAATTCCTAGCTACCCTATAGAATTTGTTGCCCATTAGTACCCAAATGTTTTCTGGAGGAATGACTTATCAGAGTCCAGCAAATTCATAGCTAACATTTCAGATTTGTCATAATTTTGTTAAATTTAGATGCTTTCCAAAGTCATGGATTTTTTTAGATACTGATTTTAGGAAAATGTTTGGGTTAGATAAAAAATATTACATCATCAGCTTGAAAAGTTATTTTTCTATTGTGTTCCTGCAAATTTTATTTCTGTGATAAATTCATTATTCCTTATCCTCAATGCAAAGGCACCATGGCCAATGCAAAAAGAAAGAAACAGTGGACATCCCAGCCTAGTCCCTCTGTATAATTCAAACGGGAGATTAAGCCCCATTAATTCCCACAGCTGCTTTTGGGCTGATGTAAAGAGCATTTATCCAATTAAGGAACTGTGGGCCAGTGTTGTATGTCTGGGACAGGACTCAAAACAGCAAGTTCTGCTCTATTCCATCAAAAGTTTTCCCTGGGTCAAGTGATAGCATAATTATTTTTTTTTAAACTGGCATTATGAATGATTCAGAGTACTCTCTAAATATTGGCTGACAGTGTCTATCCTTAATGAGTCAAGTTCGATCTGGGTTTATATAAACTGAGAGCATGGATGGCAGACAGCTAACTATTTTTGTTTTTTTTTAAATCTTTGCTGTGATTCATCAGTGATCTGAGCCTATAGGAACTGCATAAAGTAAAGTCTTTTCCAACTTTAGGGAGACCAGCAGTAGCTTCTTTCATAGGTTGTGGAAGTCCCTCCCATAGCAGACTGGCACTGAAGATACCCTTCAGGGACCCACTAATAACTTCTTCACTACTATGTGAAATTTAGCTGGAAAACCATCAGGTGCTAGAGTTTTATTTCTTTACATTTGCTCTTGCCTTTGAGATTTCTTCTTCTGTTATTTCTTTATCTAAAGTTTCTTTATCAGTTTTGTTTATCTTTGGCGAGCCTGCTAATTCCAAATATTTTTGAATTACCGCAGATACGTCAAACTCTGAAGTTTAGGGTCTTTTATAATAAGGAACAAAAGTAGCATATGTTTCACTGCATTATGTAACTGTCTTTTGCTGATTGTTTTTAATTGGTGGAATAATATTTTCCTCTCTAATCCCCTTCTGCCATCAGCACATTCAGTTTCTCCTGATATTAGTTAATTGTTTATATACTTATTTGAACCTGTGTTTTTATGAATGTCACAACATATTTATCTGCAGTTCTGGTTTTATTTTTCTTAAGTGCTGCTGTCTTTTTTTCTATTTAGAGGCTCTGCTTATCAACTGGCCCCTAAATACTGCTTTACCTGCCTCCCAGAGAAGACCTCTTTTTATATTGTCTTATCATTTATTTTAAAGTATTGAACAATGTCCTTTTTAATTACTGCAACCTGATTTTTGTCCAGCAGAAGCAAGCAGTTCATTTTCCAAAGAAGTGATCTTAGGATGATGCTAGCAAATATTACTTTCAGCGAGGCAGGACCTGACCACGTAGTGGTGCCAATTTCCATAGCACTAGTCTGCTTCACTGAGGATTTAGTGATTAACATTAACTCTATTCTATTATATAAATTATGAGGGTATGCATTAAAATGTGAGAGTTTGTTCCCCAGTGTGCAATTCTCTCCAGCAATCTGAGAGATTGAATTGTTGGCATAGAGAAGTCAATTCTGCACCTGCTTCCCTGTCTACCTTGTCTCTTTTATCCAATCTGTCCCAGTAAGGCGTATGTGTGCGTTTGAAGTCTTCTCCAAATATAATTGCCCGGTCTCCAAAATGTTGCAATATTTGGGTATAAACTGGCCATGAACAAAATTAAGGTTGGAAATTAGAAGACCGTTTCTAACCATCAGAGGGGTGAGGTTCTGGAACAGAAGTTGTGGTGGCAAACAACTCAATTAGTTTTAGAGAGAGCTGGACAATTTTGAGTCTGATTGTGTGTCAAGGTTGGTTGTGATGGTAGTTGGGCAAGGCTCAGCAGCCCCGGGACTCACTCCCAGTTTACGTCTTATGTTCCTAAAAGCTCATCCTTCAGTGTTTCTTTTGACCATGTCAGAGAAAAACAGACACAACAAGGAGTCTGGTGGCACCTTAAATGATGCATCCGAAGAAGTGAGGTTTTTACCCACGAAAGCTTATGCCCAAATAAATCTGTTAGTCTTTAAGGTGCCATCAGACTCCGTGTTGTTTTTGTAGATCCAGACTAACATGGCTACCCCCTGATACTTGACACCATGCAAGAGAAAAACAGAGTTCTCACTCTCAGGTTGGGTGCAGCAAGTCAGATACTTTATTATCTCTAGCAATTGCGTGGAGGGAGAGAGCTAAACAGGTCTCTCTACAGGTAAACAATTACAACAAGCATTTATACCTTTGGTTACATACAATAATAAGCAACAGCTGCATTTTGTTTATACATAGGTCATCCTGATATCCTCTCTTTCTCACCAATTTAAACTATAGTCTACATTCCATACTTATCTAACTCAAGGTTGCAACAACTTCTCACACAGTCCTTTCCCACTCGCCTCACACAATGCTCGCTTCTACAAATCTCACATTGTTAGGATTACAGCTAGCCTGACTCTTGCTCACAGAGGAGACTGTTTGCATAGAAATCCCCTTCAAATCCCTGTCAGTTCTTGCTCTACTTCCACATACCCCCTTTTGTGCGTCTAGCACAACTAACATCCTTAAACCTCCATTTGTATCAAGCCTTGGATGGCAGATTCTACATCAAATACTTCAATCTAAAGGGTTGTTGATTGGATGCAATGACAATGCATGATTAGCATGGACATGAAAAGTATTACTATTATTACGTCCTTTACAACAACAATAACATAATCCTAAACTAAACAACAACAATACAAGCAGTAACATTCCCATAGTAGTAATATGATGGGGTTGTTGTACAGTTTTAGTCACAAAGCACAATACATCATACTTAGTACATAAAGTAGACCCTCTATAAGCTGTATGAAAGGCATACTTTTCAACTTGATATATATTTTGAAGCATGTGAATTTGCCCTTGTAATTCAGAGATTCTTTGAACCTCTGGTAACAGTGAAAGCAAATTTTGAAATCGATCAGGTACTAAGCTAGTCCAATTGAAGGGTATCTGAAACCTAAGGGCTACTTGTAAAACTCTGTCCGCAGGCCAGTAAATAATATAATTGCCTGTAGCAGTAATGAGATTAAAATGTATATCTCGCAACGTGGTGGCTTCAACATACACACAGCTATCATTAGCTTGAAAAAGTAGGTGTCCTGTCAGGGTAGTTCCTTGTCCCCTACCCTCCCAGCAAACGTTGTCATGAACAGTGACAACTTCCCCTGGCTTCAGTTTACATATACACTGAAGCTGTGGAGGTTCTAACGGCCAAAATGTCCATTGACTCCCTAACCCCCATCCAAATGTCCGGTGTTATCCCAGGAGCACTGACTAAAAATCGATTAGGCTCACCAGGTGGTCTAATTTCCCAAATGTCTCGGTGAATCACCCAATCTCACATGCATCCTCCCCACGGACCTGTCAGGCTTCGGTATATGGGAGCCCACCCCCCTTTGACCTGTCCGTATGCTTGGAAGGAGCACTGTGAACGTCTGCACTTTCACCCAGAAAATCTCCAAGTATGTCTCTATGGCAATGCGATCCCCGTCTATAGTGGATATCTGGCCTCTTGAGTGCTGCTGTAATTTCCCCCAGCTCTCTTCTCACTTTTAAAGTAAGGGCACAGAGGTTATGGAAAAACTGAGGCCTTTGAATAAAAGCTCTGAATGCTCTGTTTTTTTTATAATTAAAGCTTTCTGCTGATAATGATGAAATTTCACAATCAGATCTCTGAGTCTATTATGAGACTGAAATGGACAGAGCAGAGCTTTATTTGCTCTCTCCACTTTCACCTCTTCCGGTGAGCTCAGCTTTAACAATTTCGCAATGTACATCCTCCTTCAGTGGTTTCAGGCAGTCCCTTAATTCTGATGTTCCTTCTTGCTCTGTTTTCTGTAGCATCCCATTTAAGCTGCAGCTCTTTCTGCTCCAGAAGTGCCAGGCAGCTCTGCAACTGTCTCTCTCTCACCTCTTTCTCTAAGGCCAGTCTGTAGCACAGTGACTTGATCTTCCAAGTCAGCAATTTAGAGAGGCTCATTTTAAACATCCTTCAAACTCCTGTTTTGAATATAGAAGGGAAAAAATTCAGTTCCTCTTTGTTGCTCTGCAGGTTCCACGTCCTGATGGGAAGCCAGATAACCTTGGCCTGTTGGTACTGGATGAGCCATCCACAAAACAGTCAGATTCCACAGTGCTCTCTCTCTGGTTAACGGAAAACTCCAAACAGCACAACGTTGCAGTAAGTTATGAAGGGAAAAGAGCTGGTTACCCCACACTAAGCTTGGTAGAAAGATGGGAGTCTTGTTCTAACCCGTGTGACTGTACAACTGCCATGGTTACAGCACAGGTAGGATTTGACTAAATTCTCATGAACAGGAAAACATCTTTCCCACCCACATCTTTAGACTACAGTGTGCCTGCTCTCATTCACACACACGTCTTAATAAACAGACTTTGGATCCATTTGTTTCCTTGGGTCAGAGCTTCATTCCCCTGTGGTTGTTGCTGTCTGGTTTGAGTCACTGTGTTCTTTCCCAGATGCTCTTCTGCTCCTGTATGCAGACACTGGATGGTATAGCGCAGCTGGGAAAGAGAACAAAACCACACAGCCCAGCCAGGAATGAAGCATAGGGTTTGCAGGGACCCACCAGCCTTGGAAAGTATGTCTCCAGATTCGCATTTCTGTTCTCAGCAGCAAATAAAAGTGAAGAGCTTGGAGAATGCAGAGAAGAATCCCAAAGCCATTGATAACTGGATCGAGAGCATCAGCGAGTTACATCGCTTCAAACCTCCTGCTACTGTTCACTACACCAGGTGAGCTCTCTGTACCCTCCTGCATTTGTATTTTACTCTGCTTACTCCTTACCGCTTGTCTTGCATGCAGAGATGCAGTTTGAGTGTCCTTTAATCAATGGAATTTCTCTCCTGCTGACTTTGTGTAATTCAGATCGGTCTAGTTTGCCCTTGTAGAAAGGGTGCATGTGTAAGTAGCCTGAGTGGGGGTCTAAGAGTCAGGACTCCTGGGTTCTATTTTCCCCCTCCCACTGACCTGTTTGATGTTGGACAAGTCACTTACTCTGTATTTCAGTTTCCACACCTGTCATGAGGATAGTAATACTAACTTACCTGAGAGTAGGACTGAGGGGCTTCTCTAATGTTTGTGAAGTGCTTAGATACCCTGAGATGAAAGGCTCTGTATGACAGCAAAGAACTATCGTTAACTCTTTTCAAAATGCAATCAGGAGAGAGGAGGAACTTTGTTGACCTACAGTATGTTGCACTGCAGTGATAGGGGTTTTAGAAATGCAGATACAGAGTTAGACCTGGTTTATTTAGAGAAGATAAAAACATCACCTCATCAGAGTTATTCTTGCCATGACTGTGAAGAATGAATTGATCTCCCATCAGATACTTGGTAAGTGGTTACAGCTATGGATTGTGTGTACAAGTCAAAATCTCTGACACAGGCAACAGTTAGGAATTAATGTGTGCACTCTCTCCATGTTACCTGTACTTGGCTCATCCAGTCTTAACTGGAATTCTTATTGATTCAAAACTCCTCAGCAAAACTCTGCCTTGAGTTTGAAACATACAGCTGTTTGTGTTTGTGTCTTTAGCTCTGCAAGTGAGTTTGGTCCCCACTAAAGCGAGTGTGATGAGTGACACTCACTTGGGCCAGGGATAGTTTGCACAGCGATAATGATGCTGAGCACCTTTGCAAAAGCGCTTTGAGGAAGGGACTATTATTTATTAGAAAAGCTTTCTCACCCTGCTTTGCCAGTATCCCCAATCCTGACTTGCATATTCCCTGCTTTTCCAGGCCTGACCTCACCACACACCTCTGCCAAAACTCCTCAGTCCCAGCCAGCAGTCCCCCTGCTATCCCACAAGCCTCTCCTGTGAAGAGATGTGTACCGTATATAGACTGTGATGTCCAGATGTGCGGATTAATCTGAGACCATCAAACTCATTTTCCCATGTGATCCAAATCAGACTTGATCCCAGACCTCCAGAGGTGAAGTCTAGTACATTAACTCACCTTCTATAGCAGGTGTAGTGAAATCTGTGGATGACTTGCTCTTGTCTCTTGCAATATGGAGTTGGCACCTTGTTTTGACTACCATAAAAGCTGCTTAATCAGGACCACACTTGTGTGTGCTCCTAGGCACGAATGTGTGTCTGTTTTCTCCCTCTGTGAGGACAAGAGTGCAGTTGCTGTGTCACGCTCTCCCCATTCACACCAGTCTGTTGTCAGTGCACTGTCAGGAAGCTCCACATCCAGCAAAATTACTGCTGGCATACTGTGTCTTTACGTGGAGGGTTGTTCTTCTCCCCTTGCAGGCCAATGCCTGATATCGAGACTCTGATGCAGGAATGGTCCCCAGAATTTGAGGAGCTTTTGGGAAAGGTATGTTGTCAGCCTGCCTAACAGCTACCCCAGTTGCGTATTACAGGCATAATCTGGGCTTTTGTCTCACTCTGGCCTGTTTGCTATTTGCCTACTCTGTGTTATCCCTCATTAACGCAGGCTGGCTCAGAGCTATTGGGTTTCTTGTATCGATATGAAGGAAAACCACTGTGCAACCAATGACTAGGCAATTTGGTATGTTCTAGCTCAAAGCCAGCCAGGTGTCAGTGGTGCTTGAAAGCTGCCACCCTGTGATGCCTGTGTGAAATGGGTGAGTAAGTTTCAGCCCAATTCCTAGTGAACAGGCATCCACATCACAGCCAGCAACAACACAGCTGGTACTAATTGTCCCCCATGTTGGCAGAGACACCAAGTGATGAATGGGCCTCAGCGGCTTCCATCCATACAAAGCAGGCTGTGCCTGCTCTGTGCTGAGGTAACACTAGCGCGTAGTCTCGCTGTACGGGCACTGAACAAGAGCTGGATCATGAGTCACTCTTTCCATGTCCCTTCTAGGTAAGCCTTCCAACTGCGGACATCAACTGCGGCCTGGCTGAGTATATTGACATGCTATGTGGTAAGCAAAGGACCTGTACGTGTCCCTCTCATCTTCTTCTCAGAAGGAGCAGAGTGCTAGCTCCTCACCATCCTCCAAGCACCACCATGCGCAAATTACGAAGTGTTATGTGCCTAAGGGGGTGTCTGAGCAGGCAGCACTTCCTCCCGACAGCAGTGCTCTCGGGCTGTTTGGAGGAGGTATTGCAGATGCATTAGTTGCATTCCCCTCCCATTCAAGCTTAGTCTTTTATGTCCCCAGGCCCCAGGTGTGGGCGGGCTGACAGGAGATCCCTTCAGAACCTGTAGCTGTTCCACATTGCATCAAGGTGAATGACCCTGACCTAGCGCTTTCATTTCAAAACTTGTTTTTCCTGGAGATGGGTGTTGTGCTCCCAGTATCATGTCCTTGTGTGGAGAAACAGATGGGTTCCCTATTTCTAAATGTGTCTGTTCCCTCTGAATATTCGGGGCAGGCTCTGGCCTATTCACCCTTCACTGCTAAACTCCTTACTGCACAGTAGCCTAGTAGCACTAGAGATGGAACCACAGTTAGGAAAAGCAAGAGACACCTGGAGGCAAGTTCAGCCCTGACCTAAGCTGATGCATCTCCTGGTGACTGCAGATGTGTGTGTAAAGCCCCAAAGCCCTGGGGATGCGCAGAGGGTATTGCTACTTGGAGAGGGCTAACGTCCAGGCAGCAGCATTGTACTTAGAATCCTTATGTTGTTTTGTTCTAGCTATTCTGGACATTCCTGTCTATAAGAGTCGGGTCCAGTCCCTGCACGTCCTCTTCTCGCTGTATTCAGAATTCAAGAACTCACAGGTAGGTGACTCCAGTGTCCACCATCTTCCAGGCTATCACTGTTAGAATGCTCAAGGGGGGGGCAGTGTTAAGCCACTTGTCCTGAAATTCACAATAGCTCCCCTGCACTGCTGAAGAGCCCATGACAACAGTGCCTGTCCTGGCCAAAGAACATCACTTTCTGAAGTGTTACCATTATTTCCTAACAATTTTAGCTGTAATGCATTTTTCACCTCGCAGGCTTCCCATGTCCATGACTCACAAGGATTCCTTCATCCAACACTTGCATATAGTGACCCTCTTCCCGTAAACTCCAACCCACCTCCCCCCTTTCAATATATAGCTATTCCATTTTCGCTGTAGAACGCTGACTTGTTACTTTTTCTAGTACCAGAATTTCCCACACTTCTTGATCTCAGTCACTATTTTTAGGGGAGTCACTCCTCTTCCACCAAATGCTGTGGTACTTCTACTAGCAGCTGGAGAAAGAATAATCAATTTTTTAGGGCTCTTATAAAAAGCAGTTTGTAGGACAATTCAATAAAATACTGATGCCCTGTTATTTCCCTTCTTAAGTCTCCAAGGACTTTCCAAAATGTCTTCAATTTTTGCTATATATGGAAAAATCCTTCCCTTACATTCTCTCCAGCATTTGCCAATCCCTGTACCATAAATTCACTCACTTTGAAGGAGACTTAGGTTCCACTGATGAATGTGAATGTACTTTTAATTTTTTATTAATGTGTTTATGGAGGTGTGGGGACCATTGCCCCGTATGTTTCCCCTTTCCTCCTACTTCAAATTTATCTATCAATGTAGTTACTTTCTCTAAATAACAGATTATTTTGTGTAGAGTGGAAAGGAAGCCTTTATGTTTCATGAATGTAGTTGAGTAGCTTTTCAAATTGCATCAATTTTCTACTTAGAGGTGTGCCTTTTTGTGGGGGTGAGTTGAAAGAATGCCTCACACTTACAATATTGTTGTTGTGGAATTCTGATGGTTTTTGGGAGTTGTTTTTCATTTGTTGGTCTAAATATATTATCTCTAAACGGCTGGTTGTGTGTGTTAAGTGACCAGAGCAAGTCACTGCACTAACACAGTCTCCTTTCCCCCACAGCATTTCAAAGCCCTGGCTGAAGGGAGAAACGTAGGGAGTCCTCCATCGAATCCACCCTCACAAGCAGGAGAGACAGAAGTGTTAAGCTTCAGCTGAGAAAAAGACCCTTTCTTCATGAGCTGGGGCTGCACCTAGGAGTAGAGCCTTCGCCTAAGCCAAACAGCAGAGCAAGGCAAAGCATTACTGAAACCTCTATCTTTTCTGTATGTACTGGCAGATGGACAGCGTACGACTCAGATGAATTAGTAGAGGTTAGAATTTAGCTCATGGTGTTTAATTGTAAATGCTGCATGACCCCTTTTCTTTGGCTCATTCCCAGAGGATTCAGCATTAAACAAGTGCTTGCGAGTGGGAGTACCTCAGCAAGGGTAACAATGTCTTTAGTACCTGAAATCAGCTTGGGCAGAGCATCTCCTTAATGCCATAACCCTCACTCTGCTCATGCAGCTGTTTGGACTCATAAGAACGGCCGGACCGGGTCAGACCCAAGGTCCATCCAGCCCAGTATCCTGTCTGCCGACAGTGGCCAATGCCAGGTGCCCCAGAGGGAGTGAACCTAACAGGCAATGATCAAGTGATCTCTCTCCTGCCATCCATCTCCACCCTCTGACAGACAGAGGCTAGGGATACCATTCCTTACCCATCCTGGCTAATAGCCATTAATCAACTTAACCTCCATGAATTTATCCATTTCTCTTTTACTCACTCACTCACTCATGCCCATCACCCCAGTCGGGGTATGGGCCGCCAACCACAGATCTCCAGAGTCCTTTATCCTGGGCCATTTGCTCTAGCTGGTTCCAGGTATAGCCCATTTTTTTGCTATCAGCCTGAAGGTCGCGTCGCCAGGTGTTTCTTGGACGGCCTCTTTTCCGCTTGCCTTGGGGGTTCCACCGCAATGCCTGTCTAGTGATGTTGGTTGGCTGCTTGCGTAGTGTGTGTCCTATCCAACCCCACCTTCTCCTTCTAATTTCTTCCTCTGCTGGAAGTTGATGGGTCCTCTCCAAGAGGTAGATGTTGCTGATGGTGTCTGGCCAGCGGATCTGGAGAATCCTTCTAAGGCAACTATTTATGAAGGTCTGGATCCTCCTGGTGGTTGTTTAAATTATCCTCCAGGTTTCAGCTCCATACAATAAGACTGATTTCACGTTGTCCTTGATCAGTCTAACTTTCTTTGCCTAATACAGCTCTCTAGACCACCAGAGGTTATTAAGCAGAAAA